TGTCAGCTGTATAGGATTCCATCATATAAGTGTCATATAATTCATTTAAACCAGTCCTTTTATGAAGGATGCTTTTATTAATTCATGCAACATAAACTTAAATTGAATGCCTACTACAGCAGTTCCTGTTCTGGGCATTGGAAATACAAAAGCCAGCAAAGCAAAGTCCTTGACCTGATGGAGCTTACATTTCAGTGGGGAGAAAGTAAATTACAGTGGGTGACAAGACCTATGGCAAAAAACAAAGCAGGGCATAGGAGCTAGACAACACATGGGGGTAGGCAGGGAGGAGCTGCTGTTTTATACAGAGTGGTCAGGGTAGGCCTCTATCATACGGTAAATTTAAGTACAGACCAGAGACAACTGAGGGAGCAAAGCATGCAAATATATGGTGGAACAATGTTAAGGGAAAGGCAATAGCAAGTGCAAAAGCCCCAAGGTGAGAGAGTGCATGGTTGTATTCAAGAACAGCAAGGCGGCCAGTGTAGATGGAACCTGGTGAGGGAAGGAGACTGCAGTAAGAGATTATGCAGGGCCTTGGGGCCATTTTAAGGACTGTGGCTTTCTGGAGCCACTGGACAGTTCTGAGCAGGGGAGTGGCATAATTTGACCCATGTTTCAATAGGATCACTCTGCTATGTTGAGAAGAGATTAAAAAAAGAAACAAAGGAATCCAGATAGGAGGCAACTGCGATAATTGTGGTGGGAAATGAGACAACAATGGTTTCGATTTGAGTGGTGGCAGTGACGGCGGTTGGAAGTGGTAGAATTCTGACACATTTAGAAGGTAAAATCAACAAGGTATGCAGAGGGATTTGGATTTGGAATGTAAAATAAAGAGAAGAGACAAGAATGACTCCAAGGTGTTTAACCTGAAACAACCAGAAGAGAGTTGCCAATTACTGAGATGTGGAAGGCTGTGGGAGAAAGGGGTTTGGCGCTGGGGGGACAGAAAGAAGAGTTCAGTCTGGATATGTTAAATCTAATATGCTTATTAGACATAAAAAGGAGATGACTTTCATGTGACTTTTTACGCAAGTGACTATGCAGTTCTGGAATTAAGGGCAGAGCTGTGGGCTGGAGATAGAAATTTGGGAGTCCTCTGCACATTGGTGATAAGCAAAAAAAAAAAAAAAACTTGATGAGATTACATAAAGAATGAGTAGATCCAGGAGTTTGAAGACCGAGTCCTGGAGCACTCCAATGTTTAGAGAGCTGGAAGAACCACGAGTGGAAGCCAAGTGAAAAGCCTGTGGTTGGAGAAGAAGGGAGTGATCAACTGTGGTTGATGGATCACTTTGGATGAGGTCTGAAAACTAACTATTGGGTTTAGCAATGATATCCTTGCATTTGAAGCCCTGGTGGCACAGCGGTTAAGAGCTCGGCTGCTAATCAAAAAGTCGGCAGTTCGAATCCACCAGTCACTCCTTGGAAATCCCGTGGGGCAGTTCTACTCTGTTGTATAGGGTCACTATGAGTCGGAATCGACTCAATGGCAACGGGTTTGGTTTTTGGCTATCTTTGCATTACACTGGGCAAATCTGTGCAAAAGACCTCTTTAAAGTGTTAAAAATCAAAGATGTCACTTTAAGGACTAAGGTGCCTCTGATCCGAGCCACGGTGTTTTCAATCAACTCGTATGCAAGCGAAGGCTGGACAATGAATAAGAAAGACTGAAGAAGAATTGATGCCTCTAAATTATGGTGTTGGTGAAGAATACTGAATATATCATGCACTCCCAACAGAATGAACAAATCTGTCTTGGAAGAAGTGCAGCCAGAATGCTCCTCAGAAGCAAGGATAGTGAGACTTTGTCTCACATAACTTTGGACATATCAGGAAGGACAGTCCGTACAGAAGGATATCATGCTTGGTAAAGTAGAGGGTCAGCGAAAAAGAGGAAGACCCTGATGAAGATGGATTGACACAGGGGCTGCAAAAATGAGCTCAAGCATAGCAACAACTGTGAAGATGGCGCAGGACCAGGCAGTGTTTTGTTCTGTTGTACACAGGATCGCTATGAGTCGGAACCAAGTCAACGGCACCTAACAACAACATCCTTGTTCCGGAGACCTTGTGGCACAGTGGTTAAGCACACTTGGCTTCCACTCTCATGGTTCTTCCAGCTCTCTAAACACTGGAGTGCTCCAGGACTCAGTCTTCAAACTCCTGATCTACTCATTCTCTATGTATGCTAACCAAAAGGTCGGCAGTTCGAACCCACCAGCCGCTCTGTGGGAGGAATATGTGGCAGTCTGCTTGCATAAAGATTACAGCCTTGGAAACCCTATGAGGCAATTCTACCCTGTCCTCTAGGGTCGCTATGAGTCGGAATCGACTAGACGGCAGCAGGTTTTTTTGGCTGTTCAAAGTTCCTTTGGAACACTGGTAGAGGCAAACTGCTTCCTAACTTTTACAATTATAAACAATATCACAATAAACATCTTTGTGTAGTTTTATAGAGATGAAATTTCTGGAACCAACAATAAGTAAACTTAACATGGAGATATATTACCAACATGTCCAAATGACTGTACCAATTTATAGCCAGTATGAAACTGAGTGTGTCTCTAAACTATCACCTACACGGACAACTGTTCAAACTTATTAATCCTTGCCAATATGATAGATCAAAAACGTTATTTTATTTTGCATTTCCGTATGGCTGAAGTTGAGCATTTTTTCATGCGATTAGCCATTTGTCTTTTTTTTCCCCCCATAAAACTTCCTGTTACAGACTTTGCCTATTTTTCTAGGAAACTACTTGTCCTTTTTGTCCTTATCTATTAGTTCACAACATTTGTTGCATATTAATGCTATCTCTTTTAGTTTTTTTATTTGTTTATATTACTAAGTTTATATCCTGGCTGGAACTGCAGAGAAGCAAAGAGAACAGAATTATACCAAAGCATTTACACCTTTGGTTTTTATATTGTCTCCATGCTCCTTCTTGGTTTTCATACTATTGTTTCCATGCTCTTTCTTCATACTTGATCTTCTTCCTTTTCCTCTTTGCAATTTCTCTCCTACGTGAGAACAACCTGGCTACAGCATCTGTAATGCCTCTGACAGCTTCAGTATACTAACTAATAGCAGTAAGGCAGTCATTCATGTGCACCCACCACAAACCTGTATTCTCATAGCCTTTAGGAAAGGCTTACATTAGGGAAATAAGTTCTTGCTGATCAAAATCTTGTCTATTTAACTATGTGCCCACCACACAGTGGGCACTCAGTAAATATTTTTGGAATGAACAAAGCTAACTCCCCTCAAGTGAAAAGGAAGTAGTTTTTAAGGCAATAAAAGAACAAAAGGACAAACAGCCCACTGATTATCCAAGGTTTTGCCTGGAAAAGTTAGATTGAAGATGAAAATATAACAAAAATTAGTAAATAACAAGCACACAGTAATAGGGATACAGAAGTCCCTGGATGGCACGAACAGTTATGTGTTCAATTACTAGCCGAAAGGTTGGCAGTCTGAAGCCAACCAGAGAGGCCATGGACGACAGGCCTGGCGATCTGCTTCTGAAAGGTCACAGTCTTGAAAATCCTATGGAGCAGCTCTATTCTGCACACATGGGGTCACCATAACTCAGAATCAACTCAACAGCAACTAATAACAACAATAGGTGTGTACATACATAAGTATGTATGTATTCGTTCTCTAAAATAAAACTATAGAGAACTCCTGCATTCTCATAAAAACTATTCCACACTGCTGCCAGAGTTACCCACAATATCAACTGATCAATTTTCCGATTTTTAAATTAGGTTGTTTCCTTTGCTACCCAAGGATAAATTTATACTGTCTTCACACAAGAAGCTTCTTCACTCCTTTAATGATTAAAAAATTCTGTAAATTTTTTACAAGTTGTATCATTTCTTTCTTAAGGTAAAGCTAACTAAAAGAAAGTATATGAAGTAATACATAATTCTGTATTATGTTTATTTCCTTTCTGAAGACACCCACCATTTTCATGGCCTTTTTGAACACAGCTGCAAATAGGCTAATGATTCATAGAATCCAAACAGCCAAAAAAAAAGAGGAGACTTTTACTGGAGAAAATGAACAGTAAGGGGGAAAAAAATTTCCATCAGTGGTGACTTTACCTCTGAAAAGTACTCTTAAAAAATAGAATAGGGCAATGGAACTTTCTCTTGCTTTACACCCACCCTTGGCAATAAACAGGTAGGGTAGAAACCTAGAAAATTAACAACTTTGAGTTAAATGGGGTCAAATTTTCATAATCAATTCTTGTTCCTCAAGGAGGGACAAAGAAGCAAGATGAAAGGAACAAACAGGTAGCAAAATATTCCTGGAAAAAGTAACTGTATCAACACTCTGAAGGGGTGAGGAAAGCAAGTCTGTACAAATCCATTGCCTACTGAGTCAATTCCGACTCACAGTGACCCTACAGGACAGAGTAGAACTGCCCCACAGGGTTTCCAAGGCTGTAAATCTTTACAGAAGCAGACTGCCATGTTTTTCTCCTGCGGAGGGGCTGGTGGGTTCAAATCACCAACCTTTCAGTTAGCAGCTCAGTGCTTAATCACTTCATCACCAGTGAGGATTCCTTGACTAAGTGTGCAGGTAGCCCAAATACCACACTGGGGGAAATGACCAGTAATCATGTGCAGAATGCCTGCCTATGCACTAAAATTTTACTTACCTGAATATTGCTTTAATTAAGTGACTGCTGGAGTTGAGAGATTTCATTTTTAATTATTAAAGTATTTTGGTTTTAGTGGGATTTGATTTGTGTTTTCTTTACATCTTTGTGAATCTAAGATTTTCCTTCCCACTGTGTGCTCAGACTTTGACAAAGCAGTCTCTCTCAGCAGCTTGCACCAAGGAGGACTGAGTAAAAGCACAATGCCTTCAGAAGTCATGTAGAATTGGAAATATCATCATCTCTCTACAAAAATAATTAATCCAATGTCATCAAGGAGCTCCAGGGCAACAACAAGGATCTGCATAAACTCAGCCTTAGTACTCACTGAAACAAAAGTGAAGCAGAGGCCAGCTCCCCTTTGTGCCAGCTGCTCCGTGTCAAGTCGAGGTTTTGCTAGCATCACTGACATCAGGGTTGGCAGAGCGGACTGCTCCTCCGATGCCTCCTTTGCAGCGCTGCCATCTAAACCGTAAAGGGGCTGCTCTACTCGCCGCTGGAAAACATTAAAGAAAACATACAAATTACAAAAGAAAGAGAAGCTGAATATTGCCAAAACACGCAACGGATTAAAACGTAAGTTATCAAATATAATGAACTTTTTTTTAAAAAGTCCTCTCTGAAAACAATTATGGAGAATATAACATCATCACTGGATTATACCCTATCTATAAACCTGGGTAAATATTATACTCAATCTCTGCAAATTACATATGTTTCTATATTTATATAACTCTGAATTTGCAGATTACTTTGTAGAGTTCAATAAATCAACCTCACAATACCTTCAAACCTACAAGGGAAATGTCATTTCCATCTTGTAGGTAAATGAAGATTAACACATTTATCCCATGCCTTTATAGTTAGGGCTTATTTCAATATCAATTCTATCCTCACTCACTATACTTAGAAAAATCTAAAAAAAAAAGATCCACAATATACTAAAAGAATATACCACAATCATTTATGCTTTATTCCACAAATGTAAAGATAGTTTATTATTAGCAAATCTACTAATTCATTACATTAATGTTATGAGGAAAAAAATCGTGATTCTTCCCATAGATGCCAAAGAGGGTTTGCATATTGCTGGGCAACTCTTAAAAATCTAGAAGTATCTGCCTTTAATACAACAAAGAGGTTTTTTTTTTTTTTTAAACAATATAAACAGCATAATTAACAGTACAACACTGTAGACCTTTTCATTAAAGTTATGAATCAGACAAGGATACCAGATTAATTTCATGATCATTCAACCTTATTATAGAAGTTTTAGCCAATGTGATAAGGAAAAAATATGAGATATAAACACTGGAAAATATAAGATAGGAAGTGTCATTTTTGGATGATACAACTATTCACAACAAAGGGAATCAAGCAAATAAACTGAAAAATTACTACCAGGAAGAGGTCAGTAAGATGGTCAAATACAAAACAAACATATAAAAACCAACAGCTTTATCACATACCAACAACAATTGAATATAATCAGAACATGTAATGGAAGAAAAAGCACACTTAAAATAGCAAAAAAATCTATAAAATACTTAGGAATAAACTTATACCTATGAGGAAAAATTATAACTTCACTGAATGATATTAAAGATAACCTAAATTAAATGGTGATAGCATGTTCCTGGACTGAAAATGGTAAAGATGTGAAATTTCTCTAAAACCCAACACTCAGGGGTTTTTTATGTTTGCTTTTTTTTTTTTTGCTTGTTTTGTTTTCGCACTCTTTTGGGGGTTAGTTTTTTTGGGGGGGAAGCTCGTAAATTAATTCTGAGGTGCGCGTGTAAAAATAATCAACATTAGTTACATTATTTTTGATAAAGAATATCAGGGAAACGACTGGATATCAAAACATACTATAAAACTACATTAGTTGAAACAGTGTAGTACTGGTATAGGAGCAGAAAAATCAGTCAATGACACAAAATAGAGAATCCAGAAACAGACTCGTACACATATGGGTATATAATTTGTGACTGAAGTACATTTCAAATTAGTAGGAATTTATTACAGATGGCAGGACATCTGCATAACTACTAGAAAAAAAGCTGATTCCTACCTTATAATAAAAATTGTAAGACAAAAATATAAATAAATGTTTTTATAACCTCCTGGTGGTGAAGGATTTTTTAAACATGACATTAAAAATATAAACCATACAGTAACATTTATGAATAGCACAAAACCCCTAAGTCATAAAGGAAAACACTGATAAATTTGACTAATTCAAATTTTACTTCAACATAAAGTTAAAAGACAAAATTACAAACAGGCAAAAATCTTACAATATAAATGGCAACAAATTAACAATCTTAATAAATAATGTACAGCTACCCATCAATGAGAAAAAAACCAAATACTTCAATAGAGGGGAAAAAAAAACAAAGGACTGAACAGCATTAAAAGAAAAATCCAAAAGACCATTAAACATATGAAAAGATGTTTAATATCACTAATAAAAAAATGCAAGTTAAAATGAGGTATTGTTTTCCTAATATGCTAGCAAAGATTACAATGATAAAGCTTGATATTAGCAGGGTGTGCAGAAACTGGCACTCTCAAACTGCTGATAACCTTTTAGCAATTTATGTGATGACATTACAAAATGAGGCTATTCTTTGACTCAGAAATTAGACTTCAGGAGTTTACCCAAAGGAAAACAAAAATGTAGAAGTACAGACATATGTATAAAGACATTTATTACAACACTGTTTATAGTATACAAAATGTTTACTGAATATTGGTTAAAAAATTAAAACAATGGAAATGAGGAAATCTATTATATAAATATACATGTATATACCCAGAAAAAGTCGAGAAATACCTGCCCATTAAACACTTTAACAGTAGTTCTTTGGGAGTTTTTATTTTACTATTTCTGAATTGTTGAACTTTCAGAATCAGCATGTATCCCTTTAGCAGGAATAATTAACACTCATTTTAGAAAATAAAACTAAAATAAACTTATCAAAATGATCTTAACAAGGAATGTCACTTTTTACTCCATCAGCAGAGTCCTCCTCAAGACTAGTACTCCTACCCCACCAAATTCAACAGTTTAAATTCAGTCTCCAGAACACCTGTGATAGCCATTCACAACAATTCTTGGGATAATTTATCTATGAAGCTACAACTAAATCAGGAGAATAATGTTGCAAGACAAAAATTATTCCCTCTGCCATGTATTCAATAAAATTTGCCAAGGGCTGAAAGATTTAAAAATATTTCTGGAATACGGCAGGCTAGATATCTGAACCAACCCTTTCTTTGGAAAACAATGATAAACACAGGATAAAAGACTTAAGAAAAGATAGTAAAAGCACTTAAGTGTTGATACACAGTAGAGATCTAACAGGGCAAAACTGAAAGGAATCTAAGGGAAATTAGGAACACAAGACAGGTAAAAGAAGCATGTTGTTGCTATGTGCCGTCAAGTCAGTTCCGACTCACAGCAACAGAGTAGAACTGCCCCATAAAGTTACTAAGACTGTAATCTTTATGGAAACAGATTGCCACATCTTTCTCCTACAGAGCAGCTGATGGGTTTGAACAGCCAACATTTCCATTAGCAGCAGAGCACTTAACCACCGTGCCACTAGGGCTCCCCTGGGAGCAGATTACCAGGTCCTTTCTCCTGAAAAGCTGCTGGTAGGTCAGCAGTGAGCACTTAACCGTTGTGCCATAAGGGATCCTTCAAAAGAAGCACAGAAGTCACATTTGCCCTAAGGGCACCTGCAGATCTTGAATTTCCATTTCCAGGGCACCATGGAGCCAAAGGGATAGTCACAGGTCAAGACCCACACAAGGCAAAGGGTTCAATAGGAAGCCCTTCCCACTTCAAGCTGAGCCTCCAAAGGCCAACACTCTAAGGGAAAGCAGAAACCAGAAGAAAACCTTTCTCCACTCCCACGGGGCTACATAAGCTGCTTTGGTAGTGAGGGGAAGGGGGAAGGTTGTTCCCCTGAGAAATGTTAACATAATCTAAATCAATATTGCCCAAGTGGTTGAAACCAACTAAACAAACAAAATACAAGCCACAAGTTTAGTAATTTAATGTACTTTTGGAGTGGTAAAATCACTAGGCGTTTGGCAGAGGCAAACAAAAATTCTCCCTGAAGGGATGCACCTTCATCCTAGGCCTCAAAGAAACCTCACAGATAATTTTTCAAGAACAATCAGCAGCACACAGTCAAAAACAGCAAAGCATAAAAGAAATAAAGCCATGAATAACAACTAGGATAAATAAGAGACAGCAGAAACAGATTCACAAAAACTTCTAATACCAGAATTATCAGACAGATTATAACACAACTATGTCTACTAGGTTTAAAAAATAAAAGACAGTCTTTAAAATATATGGAGGAAACACAGAACTAAAAAACAAACAAGCAAAAAAGTGGGCTAGCAGATTTTCAAAAGAACCAAATAGAAATAAAAAAAACAATAATCAAAATTAAGAATTCAATGGGGTTAACAGTAAATCAGACACATATAAACAGAATTTGGAACAGAAAGGCAAGAAGAAAGTATCCAGAATGTAACAAATAGCAAGTAAAAGATAGAAAATATAAAAAAAAGGGGCATGGTGATAAAGTAAGATGGTCGAACATGTTTAATTAGAACTTCATAAAAGCAGAAAAAAAGAACAGAAGGAGACACAGTATTTGAAGAGGCGACACCTAATAATTATCCAGAATTGGTGGAAGATACTAACAAACCAATTCCAGAAGCCCAACAAATTCCAAACAGGAGAAATAAAACATTTCATGCTGAAACTGTATAACACCACACATAAAGATTTTAACAGCAGCCAGGGAAAAAAGAGCAAATACTTTCAAAGAAACAACAGGTAAATAAAAGCTGATTTCTCAATAGTAACAATGGAAGCCAGAAGATGGTAATGATATATTCAATTGTGTTAAAAGAAAAAATGCCCATGTAGAAATAGACACAGCAAAAATATCTTTCAAGAATAAGAACAAAATAAAGTTATTTCAGCAAACAAAAACCTACAGAGTTAATTCCCAGCAGATACACACTAAAGGAATACTAAATTCAGAAGAAAAGTGACCCTAGATTGAAGATTTAAGACACAAAATGGAAAGAAGTACAAAGAAAGAAGTAAATATATAGATAAATCTAAATAAATAATGAAAAATGACCCTAATAATATAGGCCCAAAATACATACAGCAATATTAACATAAATTCATGACAAAACAGACAATTCCCATAATCATAATAAGAGATTTGTATATACTTCTCTTAGTGATTGACAGAATATGCAAAAATCAGTGTCATGGATTGAATTATGTCCCCCCAAAAATGTGTGTATCAATTTGGCTGGGCCATGATTCCTGGTATTGTGATTTTCCTATATGTTGTAAATCCTGCCTCTATGATGTTAATGAGGGAGATGGGTGGCAGTTGTGTTAGTAAGGTAGGACTCAATGTACAAGATTGGATTGTGTCCTGAGACAATCTC